GTGAATGTTGCAGTTGCCATAAGCGTGTTAAATATATCAGATTTTAAGTCAGTGTATAGATATCTGGGAAGATGGTTGCTGATGTTTGATTGTCTATAGTTCTGACTAAGAATCTAGCCAATGAAAAATCTACTTTGGAGTTGTGTTTGGTGGTTATCTGTTGTGTAAATTGCAAACGTTCACATTGATGTTGGCATTGGCATTATTCACCAAAACAGATACAAGCAATATTGTTCAAGCTCGGAAGCCAATACTGTATGTTTAACACTGACTGTAAAAGCCTTAAGGCCATAAAGAAGACAAAGTTATGATTGCAATTACTAATGCTTATACTGAACACATTTCACTTTGCATTGCAATATATGAGTATTGTTAGTAATGTTTTAGACAGTCCAGAAATATGCATAAATACTTATAACTGTTTACTGTGAGCTCATACACAAAAAGAAAACACTACAATACAGTCTCTTTTGAAAGTCATATGACACATTTTATTTTGGTTCTTTATTGTAGGTGATTAATTAATAGAAATTACAAATTATGCATAAAATTTAAGGCTTTCACTGCAGTTAAAATTTGAATTGTGGTCTTTGGATTATCACACTGTGTAATATTTTAGATTCTTGCCAAAATTTCAGAGGTACATGTGACCTCCATCTTCAGAATAGAAGTTGGTAACCACCTACAAGACTTGTGCTGTCATAACCCAGAAGACCACGGTCCAAAATTACACATCCTAATTGAAGAAGTGATTACTTCCAAAATAGACTGTATGTGCCCTCTGTTGCACCATTGTATGTAGATGTGTTGTAGATAATGACTACACACTTTATATTTATAAAGCACCAAAATAGGCTTATGTGTTATTTTGCTGTGTCAGGTTATTTGTACTACTACTACTGTTACTACCGCTACCACTACTATTACTACTACTACTACTACTACTACTCTGTTAACTTGCACATGGATCACATTTGAATACCAATACACGCTCGGGACATGTTCAGTTGGCGTGCTTTCAACCTCAGACGCCATCACAGATTGGAAGGAGTATCTTTATCTCTCTCTCTCACTTGTTACTACTACTCTTGTGCATGTCAGATGTTCACACTTGATGTTCCGCCTTCAAGGGAATGGCTGAGCCATTCTGGCATTACGATGACGTCTGCCACTGACTGAATGTTTTGGCAGACTCTAGTGACCTGTATGTTTAAATTCCTGTTTTATCACTTACGGAAAGTGTAATGTGTTGCTAACACTTTCTATGCTGTTGTTCCTGAGATAGTTTGTGTTAGAGAAACACTGGTCTGCATTTATTTGGCTTTTAACACAGTCAGAGGAAGAATCTCTCTGTTATCTCTTAACAGTTACATCTGTTTGTGACATTTAACTGGTGATCATATAGTGCTGTAGAAATGTATTTTCTCTTCAAATCTCAGCATGGGAAAGGTTAAACTGCTTAAATAAAAGAGTAGCGGCTAAAATGGCAAATTTTCAGTTGTCACTTTATTTTCACATTTTCTTGCCTGTAATTATTGTTAATTATTCATTTAATTTATGAAATACAGTAAGGCTATGTTAATACTCTATATAACATTGAAATCGTTCCATGAAATATTGATAAAATAATTCCTTTGAAAGAACATAATTACAGACTTGTGAAGATGTTTTAGGTATCTGTAAGTTTGAGGGGCTATGGCTAACAGCTTTTGGGAGTATGTGAAGAGGTGACTGCCTCCTTATCCAAATAGTTCTTTCATTTCTACATTATCAGTGTAGACAGTATAGTATTTGATATTTTTATTGCAGTGAAAATGTGGATTGTGGGTTGTGAAGCTATTTAGTTTTGTAGATGGTTACCACCATATTGGAAGAATATATTACCTTTTGTTCTCTGCTCTGAATATGGAGATGAAATGATGGTAACTGTATATAAAACTGCACATCATCACAGCCCAGAAGACCACAGCTGATTTTTTGTGGTGTTGTGGAATTGCGTTATGACTATTAGTCATTCTGTAGCTATGCATTTACTTTGAACCTTGTTAAGATCTGTAGTAGCTATCACCAGAGCATTTGTTTTACAAGTTTGCAACTGAGGAGCTCAGTGGCAGATAAAGCTTGTCCTTTTCATGTTAATTAGCCAAACTAAAAGTGATATTAGTATATATAGCCAGCAGTTTAAGGATTGTTTCTTTGCAGCATGTTCATGATGATGTCATATATGAACTTTGGGAATTTTGTTAGTATATACACCGCATAACTAAAAAAATTGTGTAATGTTTGGGAAACACAATGTTTAAGTCATAATTCCTGATGTTTACGTAAGAGGTAACTTAAAAGAACTTTGCATTTCACCTTTTGCACAAAAATGTACTGATATATCATCGATATGAAATTCATGCAGAGTGTGATTTTGTGCGGCACACAAAGGGAAAAATGACAAAGTAGCATTCTTGATATTAGTGAAAGTGATGTGCTTAGTTTTCTTATTATAAATTCTTAGAATATTACAATTGAATTATTCACATGTCATACCATTATTATGGTACGTTGTTAGGTTGAAATGTGTAATGGATACACAGATTTGCACACTCAAACATTCTTGTGTATTACAAATGTTGTCTCTTGGTTATTAAAACAGATTATGACAGAAATTAATCAGTGTAGAATCAGAAATATTTCTCTTCAGTCTTGAGTAGCCTTGCTACCAGAAATACTGAAAGTGATTCTGAATCAAGGAATTCCATTTAAACAGGAATATATTAATGGAAATGTGATAATGTTAATGAAAACCTTTTCAAGTTACACTATGTGTCTGCTAGAAATTACCCACAATATAAAGATATTTTAAGTTTCATGCTTTCTGCACACTTCCATGTTTGACTTTTAGGTTATCTGTTGTTTTAACAGTACTGTTTATACCATCAAATGAGATGGGAAGCTGATTATGAATGATGAGCAGGTAAGGATGTGGAAGGAGGCAGTCATGATATATGTAAGCAATAATCTGGATATATTAGAATATTTTGTGTGAAATTATAGTACTTTCCCAACAGAGTAATTTATTTTGCAATTTCTCTACTTTATACTACTAAGACAGGAATATTTAGTGTTCTAATACATTAGTACAGGATTACAGGATTGCTTTAATTTTATGTTGAACAGTAGGATTTACCTTTTAATTTTGTAAATGTAATGGAATCCTTAAGTTTTTGCATTCCAGAACCATTTTATTGGGTCAGGCTTCCCTTGAAGTTGGATTTACTAGTGTGTTCATCAAACTGATGTGTGTGTGTGTTTTTCTAGTATTTTTATAACAGGTGTGAAATGTTTTTGTAAATATGCGTATGGGTGTGTGTGCGTGTGGGAAATGATAAGTAACTTGCTTATAGACTTTTTTCTTTACTTCCATTTTAAGTTAATTATTATTTTGTTAAATTCATGTCCTCTATTCTCTCACGTATAACTAAATTTCCTGTTGTTATTTGTAGTCTATTCCAAAATTTCTTTTGTGCAGTTATTACCATTTTAGTTTATGTATTTGGTCCTTCCTTGTTCATTTACTTTTGTTTCTTATTTATATGAAGGTATTTTAATCCTCTTCTCTTACTCAGTTCCATTTATTGTTTTGAATTCCTACTATTGTAGCTCTGTTTGTACGGTATATAACTTGCGCATGCTAGCCACAACCTTTAGAAAGAATATGTTTTTACTTTTTTTATAAAAGGAAATTTTCCTCTGAACAAAGAGGGATACAAAACTGCCACACACCTGATGTCTCTTTTTGTAGCAGACAAAACAACAGCAGCAACAACTTTTACCATCACAGCCACAATTAAATGTTTTGCCGGTGACAAGAGAGGGGAAAAACATTTTCACACAAAAAAAATTGACTGCCAAAGCAGATCATTTTTTGCTATGTAGAAAAGAAGAACAAATACTTTTCTCACTTACATTACAATTTTTTTCCCACTTTTTCCCGTGACTATCTGTTGCTACAGCCGGTCGCTCTACCGATCGCACTACCAAGCTCAGTGAGTATGCCACTAACACTTCTTCATTGTGTGGAACTTATATTCAATATTTTGTGTGCTGTAGAGCTTTTAGAAACTATTTAAGGTTAACATACTGTTTCTGTCGTAGAATTTTTGGTAGAGTATTTTGTGATACTGGCATTTTCAGGTATGAATTTTTTGTTTTCTTTTTCTATCTTTTTTTTTTTATGTAACTCGCACTTTCTTCTCATATTCAGTTGTGTTCACAAATGTAATCGTAGTCTTGCCATCTCATTATGACAAGGTATGTTCTTCATCTTCTTTCTTCACAAGTTTAAGCATTTGAAGGGTTTGTTGTAAATGTGTTGGTATTCAAATGTTCACAAAAATAATTATATATTGAAATATGTAGAAAAGTCATTTTGATGTTTCAATATTTATGCACATTTTAAATTTGATCATGAAATACTGTAATAAATTTAAATTAAAGAATCTCTTGGTAAAGCAGCTGAAGCAATTATAGGGCTCTTTTATGTTTCTTGTAGTGATGAATGTTTCTCATTGGGCATTCCCATCAAGCAAGGAGTGGAACAAAGGTATTGTAAAAGATCAGAAGAGCAGGTGATATTTTTGTTGTGCTTTTGAGTTATTTTGTGTTTAAAGAATGGTGTGTGACAGACAGAGAGCATCTTTCTAAAGGAAAGATAGATTTTAACATTTATTGTAATAAGGGAAGGATGTGAATTACTGAAGTTGTTACAAACAGTTAAATTAAATATAACATGTAATTTCCAAAATTAAGTACAAATATATGCTAATTTAAATATAATAAAGTCTAAAATAAATTACATTTTTGTTCAGAAGTATATTCCTTCATCACTTTTGATGCACATGTAAGATAGCAAAGAATGAGTGTGTGAATGTGTGGAAATTATTTTTTTAATTCTTGAATTTTTCTCTTTACTGTGTGGATATGTGAGCATTTTTGGTGGTTGATTGCAGTCCCAGGTGACCCTCAGGATGTACGAGCAACTTTTATCAACTCGACTGCAATCCGTGTTCAGTGGCGACCTCCACTGGAAAAAGATCGTAATGGCATCATCCGTGGTTATCACATACATGTTCAGGAAACAAAGGAAGAGGTTTGTAGTAAATGTCAAAAGTCATGTCCTGTGTTTCTGCTTTGTTCTTGCTTGCAGTTGAAAATTTGGTTTTGAATCCTGGCTTTTCAAACATTGTTTGTGTAATGTATAGACTGATTATGTTTATATCTGGGCATAGATATAAATATAATATTAAAATGTAACTTACATGGGGTGTGCGGATGTGGAGTGGATTCATGTGGCTCAGGATAGAATACAGTAGCAGAGTCTTTGGGGTTTCTAAGAGGTAAGGAATTTCTTGACCAGCTGAGTGACAGTCATCTTCTCAAGAAGTACTGTAGCTCATGAAGTTTACTAGTTAATGATGTCTTGACAGCCATTGATTATAATATGAACAGCATGCAAAATACAAAGGATGATTCTAATCAAAATGAGTTTAGTCAGTCTTGATACTATAAGAATTCAGTTTAAGAGGCTTTTGTGCAATTAGGTAATAATGCAGTAATGAAGATAATGAGGAAATAATGAATTTGTATAAATTTAAATGTTTATTTGCATAAATAGCAGGTAGGAGTGTTGTTAGTTCATAAGTAACACATTGGTTTATATCTGCAGGGACAAGGTCTTCTTAATGATCCAATGAGATTTGATGTTCTGGATGGAAGTGCTCAAGAACTGAATGTAACTGGATTGCAGCCAGACACCAAGTACTCGGTTCAAGTTGCAGCACTCACCAGGAAAGGTGATGGTGACCGCAGCCCACCAGTTACTGTTAAGACACCAGGAGGCGTACCAAACAGGCCAACTGTGAACCTGAAGTAAGTGTAAAACTGATAACTGTTTTGTCTAGTTGTTTTCGTGTTTTGAAGAACTACATTTTTATTTTAACTATGCAGACTAAATGATGGTTTTAAATGTGTAACTATTGACTCTGTATTGCCACATTCACTCCTCAGCACTCGATTGATAGTTTTTCTCTTTGCTGTGGCATTCAGTTGTATTTGATTTTATCCAAGTGGGTCTGTCTTACTGTCTGCTGAGTTCATACTTCTTGGCCTCAAAGTGTGGATTGTACTTACTCTGTACTTTTCTTAACACATTTGTAACCTGTCGTCTTTGGGGTAAGTTGCGGTGACGTTGTATTTGTATTCCTATTCTTTTTATTAATGATGTAAATAATGTAAATGGTACTAAATGTTTCTTCTGAACTTGAGTCATTTATTTACTCAAGTATGTAAATTAGTTAAGAATTATTTATAAAAAACTTATCCCGCACACCAGGATCCAATATGATAAGTTAAAATCCAAGTGCAGGTAGAGATACTTTTTTCTTTAGTGTTTCCCCTTTCCTTTTTATTCCATATGTATTAAATGTGAACTGATATTACTGCAGAGTGCTGGAACGAGAACCAACAGTCAGTATAGAACTGGAATGGGGACGACCAACTCAGACATATGGAGAACTCTTAGGATACAGACTTCGCTATGGGGTTAAAGATCAACCTTTGAAAGAACAGATGTTCAAAGGAGCCATGGTCCATTCCCATAAAATAAATGATCTTGGTAAGCGGAATTGTTATTTGTACATCAAAAGTCTAAGAATCAGAAATTTTTTGTAACTCAATGTGCTTGATCTTTAGTGACAGATGCAAGGACATTGCTCTGGTACTGTTCCATTCTTCTGCATGCATCTAGCAAACATACTTCTGTTTCATTTGCTAGACATTGAATAATAATTTTAAAATATTGTATAGTTTACGTGTTCTTTGCACAAGATGCATAAATTGAATGACTAATGGGCAACTTTTGTCTACATCTCCACCAATTCACATTACAACTTAAAAACCATTTGACCCATCTGATTGAAATTTGATGTGCAGAGGGAAGTTCTCATAAAAAGTCAGGAAAATATCATTTTGTATTTTAATGTTACCATTCCATTTCATAAATCTTCCAAGAAGGAATCTCTCCAATTTTTTATGCTAAATTTGTGTGTACATTTCTTAGTATCCTCATCTGAGCTATCTGTGCAGAACATTGTAATCTCCTGATTTGACTGACTGCCTCAATAGTACTAACACAGAATGGGTTGATGTAGCAGTAAAACATGCAAGTTGCATTCTCTGGTTACCTAAGTACCAAACTGAAATCCATATCATCTGTCTGGACTGAGATTCTGCATATTTTCCCTCATTTCCAGTAGACAAATGATAAGATAATATCTTAATTAAAAGAGTATATAAGAGGCTGTGACCACTTGCCTCCCTGTACCTCATGATCATCATTCCTAGTTAACTTTATATCTCATATGATGTGACAGCCTCAGTAACTGATACAGTATTAAGAAATAATCAAGTTTTCAAAATATTAACAATACATAAAAATTAAAAGTTCTGTGTGTGAGTTGCACACAATAAGGGCATGGAGGTAAAGATTCACACATTATTAACATCAGAATAAGATAGAGGTCAGTGGTCAATTTTACACTTAGCTGCTTTATTCCTTGAGCAATATGCCTCAGCACATACTGGTTAGGAGAGACTCCAGATTCAGTCTGGATGTGGCAGTGAAGTGAGAAATCCTTGTTATTTAAGGAGTTTAACCCTGATTGTTTGGCCCATACCCAGTCACATTTTTTACTGAAATATCCTACATTTAACAATCTTTATATAAGTTGTAATGTTTATTTGCCTGTTTGCATTGCAGAGCGAGGAGTGGAGTACGAGTTCCGGGTTGCAGGGCAGAATCATATTGGATTTGGTCAGGAAAGTATTAAGTACCTGTTGACACCTGAAGGTCCCCCAAGTGGGCCTCCCACCAACATCTCGCACCACTTTCAGACACCTGATGTTGTGTGTGTTACATGGGACATTCCTCTCAGGGAACATCGGAATGGGCAGATCACGCACTATGACATTGAATTCCATAAGAAGGTGGATCATACAACCGTCACAGACAGAAATACCACCCAAACCAAGGTATAGCAGTCTAATGTGTGGGGTCTGTGCAGTCCTATGTAGTATCTGCTGCTTCTTGTTTTTACAGATTAGGCAACTTAAAGCTTGTGTTGACCTCAAAACCCTCTTCATAGTTTTTTTTTTCTTCCCCTCTTACTTTTCATCCAAAAGGTATATAATTCTGAGGTTAAGCTCTTCCACCTCTGTCTGTGTGGTCTGCCATGACTTCTGTATGTAATAATTCCTTTCAACCTTTATTGCCAAAGTTAAGTTGTGTTTCACGATTTCTTTTGTTATTCTTTGTTTTTCCCCATTTTTATTTTTATTGTTATATTAATTCAGCTACATATATGTGTGTCTCCCTACTGTATTTTACTACTGTGTTAACCAATATTTTGCATATTTTCAATTATGTATTTTAGATTCCTTTTACCTTGTCTATAAATATTTCCACTTACACATTTTTATAAACAGTGCTCTAAACTGTGCAATTTGGGATTTTCAAAGAAATGTGAAAAAGATGGTGGTCTTTTGGATGGCTGTCCCATGAATTTTGGCTGTATGCCAGAATTTTGTAGCAGTATACTGCCCCCATCTTCAGGGCAGAAGTGAGGAGTGTTAGGAAGTGGATATCTTGCATATGGTTAAAAAACAACACAGCAACCTATTAGGCTGCCATCTGTAGTGCTTTAGAGACAAATATTTCTGCTACTGTAACTTTTAGATTTTAACTTAGCAATGAGGTATGAGGGTGGACTGAAAAGTAATGCCTCCTCTTAAATGAAACATGAATGGGAAGAAATTTTACAATGAAACAATAACATATACAGAATGGTCCAATAGATATTTATTAAGCCTAGGGAAAATATGAAAATCACTCAGTGCCAAATCCAAGTTGCCTGGGGGATGAGGCAAGAGGAAAAAACCCAGATGTTCAGTTGCTTCTTGTATTCGAGCACTGATGTGAGGTCTAGTGTTGTCATGTTGAAGGACTGCGTGGTTTTTATTCCAAACTCTTTTGAATATTTTTGCTAACTTATTGAAGGATTCAATAAAATGTTCAGAATTAATGGTTGTCCCTCATTCCATAAAATCAGCAAGAATTATGCAGAGGCATTGCTTTTCAGCCCATCCTTGTACATCTACATGCTTCAGTGATTTTACCCACAAGCAGATGACCTCCACTATTCACATAGATGATCAACAGAGCCATTCTGGATTTGGCAGCAGAAGGAAATATCAGAATAGCAAAAGGATATAGATTTTTAGTTTACTTTTCTTGTAAGAAAAGACAGGTTTATCGTATCATCATGTGTCTGTCCCTCCCTACTAACTTTTGAACCATTTGTGGGATTTCTGTGAAACTTGGTTGAACATGTATGATTTGAGGTTTTCACAGCGGTGAGTCTGAAGATTGCTGTCTTCTGGGTTGTTGCGCCGTTGGTGGAAATCTACCAGCCTACATGGCGCAACAACCCAGAAGACAGCAATCTTTGGTTGAACATCATGTCACTAGAGGACACATCAGAGTTGTATGTTTCAATTTCCTACCATTAGTAATATTTTGCACTTGTGCAAACTTATCAGTTGGGAGTAACACTAGTGCCATTTAGTATAGGATCTTGAAACTTGGTGTGGTAATACATCACTGAAAAATATGTAACTTTTATTATATTTTTCATTTGTAGAATGTAAAATAACATGATGACTAGGCAAATCCTATATTTGAGTGTTGGTTTCAGGGTGGTAATTAATTAGCTGCTGGAGCTAGACATACAAAATTCTGTATAGAGATGCATGATAAGCATACCTACGTATTCTATATGAACATTGTTTTATTTGTTAACATTTACAAATATGACATTTAGTGAATTTAACATAATCAGAATTTGTACTAGTGGGAATTGTGCACTGAAATAGTTTACATTTCTGCTAGTCTTGCCAGAAGGAAAGTAGTTATCATAAAAGTTTTCTATTTAATAGAATCTCTTGTAATTTTGTTATTGCCATGTTTTTATAGTTTATCTTTATTTCAATGTTATATAATTCAGGCAGTATTCACAAATCTGGAGGAGAATACAGACTATGTTTTCCGTGTGAGGGCTCACACAAGCCAAGGTGCGGGACCTTATAGTGAAAAGATTACAGTGCATACAGAGCGTGACATTGTGCGTGCCCCTATGAGTGTCCAGGCTGTTGCTACATCTGATCAGAGTGTTGAGGTGTGGTGGGAGCCAGTACCCAGTAGAAGCAAAGTTATTGGTTACCAGGTGAGTGACCAGCAGCAACACAACTGTTAAGTTCACAAAAACAAATTTAATTGTAAGGGAGGGATAGTAGGATGTATGTGAAAACTCTGTTTAATGCTTCTCTGGTGGACAGTGGATTTGACACATAGGCACCTTAAAAAACAAAAATTTATCTCTGTGTAAAATTTGATTGAGTTTCTAACAGCAGTAAAGATGTTGATGTTGGTCTTCTGGGTTGTAACACTTTGTGGGCTTGTAGGAAGATAGTAACATTTTGGAGGAACTTAAGTATTGCCCTGCAAGTCCACAGGTCATTACAACCCAGAACAACAAAATATTATAAAGTTAACAGGACAAAGGGTAAGGACATATAAAAGAGACAAATGCGCTGAAATTTTTAACTAGATTTGTGAGCTGCATTACATGTTATAACTTAAAATACACATAATAAGGTGCATATTTCTGCAATGTGGCTGGCTGATACAGGTAGCAGACAACAGGCTGTATTTCTGTAATGCGTTAATAATGTTCAGCTTTTTAAAACCCTTTTGTGGCACCTGTTGAATATTTCAGATCTTCTATACTATGACTGCAGTGGAGGATCTTGATGAGTGGCAGCAGAAGATTGTTGGTTTAACTGAGTCAGCAGATCTGGTAAACCTTGAGAAGTATGCTCAGTATGCTATTGCAGTTGCTGCACAAACAAGGACAGGCCTTGGGCGTTTGTCTGAGAAAGTCACTGTTAAGGTGAAACCTGAAGATGTGCCCCTGAATCTGCGGGCTCACGATGTCAACACTCACAGTATGACTTTGTCATGGTCCCCACCAATTAGATTGAATCCCATCAATTACAAGGTATGTATTGTCTGTGGTGAAATGTTTTCCTTTCAAATATGGAGGCTGAATGATTAGTGCTCCTATTTCTTATCCAGGAGGCCCTGCTTCAAATCTCAGCCTAGATACCAGCTATCCTGTCAAGGTTTTTCATGGTTTTCCTGAGTCCCCACCAGGGCAGATACCAAGATAATACCTTAAATTAGGCCATGAATGCTTTCTTCCATATCCTTTTCAATTCATTACTTATTAATAATTCTGTTATTTAATACTGTATAGTCTGAGCTACTGACAGCATCATTAAATAAACCATAAATAAATACAAGGTTTCTCAGTTATCTTGTTATATTAGCTTTCGAGGGTTATTAATGCATCAGTGCATTCTGAATAAGTTTAATTCTTCTAAATTATTGTGTTATGGATTAACATGTAGACTCATAATATTTCCAGCATGATTTCTCTGAACAGCGTACAAGAACAGAAATGCTGAATTGAATCTAAATGCCAAAAAATAGTGTAAAATTATTGAATTCAGTTTTATTTTGGAAATATTATATTCTTCACTTAAAATATCTTTTAGTAATTGTCACATTTCAACATGCGTGGGCAAGATTTCAGACGTATTAATTCAGGTTACTTTATATCCATATAGAAAAGTGTTTCTTCGTTGATTCCAATTTTCAGACTTCTTGTCACTTGAATTTATTATTTGATATGTTATGTAATGAGTGTGATGGTTAGTAAAGTGATATATGTACTGTATTTCATCACAGAGTCATAATGTTTTTCCAAAATGTTAGATCACGGATATGAGTGCATAATTCATATGAGGATTTATGATTATGGTCTGTCATATGGGGAGTTTCACTGTCTTCTACACTTGTAAAACTGAAAATCTTCTTGAATAATTTGATTAATGCCTGTATCATGTCAATTGATAATGATAAAATGCCTTTCATCTTATTTTCATGTATTTATTAAACTTTGTTATGTTCCATACTATAATTTTATTTAAAACTTTACAAATAATAAGTTTTGAGCAAAGTAAATCATCACTTATCAAATCCACAGATACATTATTTAAAATCAGATCACAATCTCTGTTTATATCTTGACCATCATGTTTCTTCAGCATAGCAATGTATGTCTTATGTTGCATTTGTACTGCTGCAAGGTCATGCGACAGATCACATGATGTATTGCAAATGACAGAGAACAAATGTTGCCCAGCCAAGCTGAATATCTGTCATCTTGCTTGTTCCTCATGCTCAGACTATAACCCACTACAATTCCTTTAACATCCGGGACAGCATTTTTAGTTGATGCCATTTTTTTAGACTTAAGAAAATAATATACGAAATATATTATCTTAATGTACCAATTCACAAACAAGGTCTTATCCTCAAATATACTAAATATAAGTTCAGTTATACACCATATATCCATCGCTGCCCCTCTCCTGATTTCATTGTTTTAGGTTTTTGAACTGTACAGAGTGCTTAGTAATAATATGGAAATGATGTTTTTGTCTTCCAGATTTCGTTTGATGCAGTGAAGGAATTTGTAGATTCACAAGGCATCACACAGATGCAGAGTGTTCCCCGTCGTTTAATAATGCTGGAGCCATCTGTTCAGAGCCACACTATCAATGAACTGTCTCCATTCACGACGTATAATGTGAATGTCAGTGCCATCCCGTCAGACCACCAGTATCGTCCCCCTACTAAGATTACCGTAACAACACAGATGGCAGGTCTGTGCCTCTTATCCATGTTATATTGTTGAATATGAGAGGTTAATTTTGTGATTGAAAAACTGTACAATCTGTGAGAGATAAATTGTTTTTAACCTACTTTTCCCTTGCTTTAATCTGTATTTAGCTTTCCTCTTGGTAATGATAACTATAGAGTCATATGAGGTAAGCATGTAAAATGTTGTGTTGAGTTTGATTATAATTTAAATATACAAACAGATTTTGTATGTAATGTTTCTTTTATGTGTTAAAAAAATGCAAACATAATGAGTGTAAAATTTTGACATTATATCTGGCTGATTTAATGTATTGGGAATACATTTAGTGAAAATTATGCACAGAAATAAATCATTAAATTTGTATTATTCTTGTTAGGCATAGATCTCAGGTCAGATTGGTCCCAGTGTTTTTGAGAAACATATTGTCTGCATATTCAGCCCTGAAGATGATCAAGAGTCAACATAGTGTCAAACCCAGAAGACCAATCTCATAAAGAAATGGCTGATATGTAAACAAGCGGCTTCAATAACAAAATTGTTTTGACTTGCTCATATTCTTTGATAAGATTTTAGTAGCCTGTAATAAGTAAAGAAAGTGAAGAATTTAATTTTTATTTTAATACAGACAGCTAGAGTTCTCACTAAAGAGAAATTGTTTCGATCCATAACTTTGAGGATATTTCATAGATGCAGAGTTACTGGGAATTAATTTTTTCTAATATTTTCAGCTCCTCAGCCTATGGTAAAGCCAGACTTTTATGGAGTTGTAAACAGTGCAGAGATTCAGGTCATCTTGCCCCAAGCATCAGAGGAGTATGGCCCCATTAGTCACTACTACCTTATTGTTGTCCCAGAAGACAAGCTCAATGCCCAGAAGAACCCAGACCAGTTTCTTACGGAAGAGGCACGTAGAGTTGTGTTATGCATGCAATGTTTTCTTACATAGAAAAATCATTATCAAGACTCTTTCTTTGTTTTTAACAGTGATTTGACCCTTTGATGACATTGGACATTTAAAAGGTAACTGATTGTGCATTTGGGGGAGGGGTATATTTTTGTGTAGACCCTGTAAGTACAATATTTTAGTATAACTTGTAAAATCAAGTAACTATTCCTATCACTTTAATATAATAATACAGTATAGTTGTTGACACGTCTTAATGTTTGGGACATCTGAGGTTTAAATCTCTACCTGGATATTAACTGTCTTGGCTGAGTGTGTCTCTCCTCATTTCCTCCAGGCAAACCCTGGGATAATACCTTAAAATAGTCTGCACCTGAGGACTGTGTCTTTCCACATCCCTTGCAGTTTGTCATTCACAGGCATCCTTCCTTTTGACAGTATATAACCTACACAACTGACATGGCATTGTTACATAAGCCAAAATTATTCTTAAAATCTGACAAGTCAAAACTTGTGAAAGTGAAAAATCAGGTGGGTTTTTGTCTTCATCATCTTATCAGTTTATTGTAAACTGTATTTTTCCCTGTTGGTACACCTGCCTTAGAAGTTGATTGCATTGTCCTTGCCAAACACAAATACCCCCTCCCCTAATATAAAAAATGCAAAACTGGTGAACACACTCATAAACGCAGTAACCAAAGCATGGATCTCTTAGGTTTCAACAGAATATTGTTGCTAATTAATTATAAGTGACTGGCATTAGTTTTTGTGATTTATGGTATTTATTTTACTTTAATATTTATTCATTTGAAATGAACCATTAATACATTTTCACCGAAGTAAGATTACTTGCTAGAAGTATGTTTCATTTCAGTTTATTTTCTGTAGGATTCTGATTTTTTGTATATCTGCCAGAAATCACTACATAATTCTATTGTACTTATAGATTAATAATTTTTCAGCTGATTGCCAACAAAGGAAACAAACAGGAACGTGAGAATGCACCATACATTGCTGCCAAGTTTCCACAACGTAACATCCCCTACACCTTCCATCTTGGAAGTGGTGAAACAAATGAAGGTTTTACAAATCGCAAACTAGAGCGTGGCAAGAAATACCGCATCTTTGTTCGTGCAGTTGTTGATACTCCACAGAAGGTGTGTACAAGCAGTATGGTCTTGTATAAAGCAGACTGAAATACTTTATTACCTCGGCAGATTATTTGTACATTAAAATGACTGTAGGTGAAAGCCATTATGTTATAGTCACAGTTAAACTTTGTTTCCTCATATAGTTTGATGTTGTCTTCTGTTCAACACTTAAGAAAACTTCAGAATTTTAGACAAATATTTGATAATAAGAAATCAGAATTATATTCATGAAGAAGTTAACATCACATTTTATTTGGGGAATTGTTATTACCATTAAGTTCAGAATCTTTTGCCTTTCTGCTTTCTGTCTAAAAATTTAAAGAAGTTACAGTTTTTCTTTGCCAGCTGTATTTATCCTATCATCAGAGAAAATTAAAATCCCCATGTGAGTGAGGTTAAAATTTAAAACTCTGAATTATGACCACCCTAGCCAGGAGGATGGAGGCCTGGCTGACTTTGACCCATATCTGGAGGCGTCATCCACAACACACATGGTGCAAAGGAACTTCAGAGATTCATTCCAGCTTATATTTTGTGAAACATCTTTAACTTTGATAAAAGTTTTCTCTTCAGTACTGTGTCTTTTGCCTTTAACATACAGGATTTTAAAATTATTCTTTTATACTCTCCTAGATGGAGTTAAGTGGAATGCTGCAGGATTTGAAGTAACTGTATCCCTCTGAAGGATTTGTATTATTTACAAATAATATAATTTTACAAGTTTCCACAAGCATTCTGTACACTTCAGATGTTCTTTCAATTTATTAAACAAGGTAATACAATTAGGATTTGAGGTTCTCACAGCAGTCAATTCAAAGATGGCTGTCTTATAGATTGTAACACCGTGTAGTCTAGTAGAAGTATGGCAGTGTTTCAGAGGTCCTCGCTGCCTCAGTCGTCAGGGTCCTGATTGCCCTGATGATGGAGGCAACAAGGCCCCCCGAAGCCACCTTCTTTGGTAATACAAGTGCAGCATCTGTGTAATGGACAGTGGACAGGGATTTTTCCATCAGACACTTAAGCAGTTATGTCTGGCAAATATTCTTTATTCCTAATTTCAGAATTCTGTTCTTTCATCATTGTTCATATGGCTTAATGAGGTTTCTTTTTTATGTAGAATTTGAGCACATATTGTCACTGTTCCAGCATCTGTACACATCAAGTCCATTCTCAGAACATCTATCTCTGGACATGCGAGAAGTTCCTCCAGGTGAACCTCCAAAACGCCCAAACCCTGATGGACCTATAGACCCAGATGTATCAGTGGACAGGAACATGGAGGAGGCAACTATGATGTGGGTCATTGGACCAATCATTGCTGCTCTACTGCTTTCCATATGTTTGATTATACTCTTTATTATAAAGAAGTAAGTGTCTGTGAATAGATTGATGTTGTCGAATGATGGTTTTTTAAGAAGGCCTGATAAAAACAAGGAAAGGCACAAGTGTTAATTAAAAGAAAATGTAGAAATTATTGGTACTGAAAGTCACTAACTATAACTATAAATATTACATTTTCCAAAGTATGGTGAAGTGTATATATATATATATATATATATTCAATAATTCTAACTACCATTAAAAGTCTCAAATAATTTCTACAGCAGTATCACGTATCTAAACAAAGTAACAATTGTTTTAAAATTAGTACTGACACACACCTTAATCTTAAACCGAATTTGGTTAAATAGCACTATCACATTTCATTGAAGATATTTTTTTAGACAGAATCAATTCAACGTATGTATGCAATTGTCAGACATTTGTAAATTCGTAAATATTTACTGTAAGTGACATCCCGTGTCCACCACATACAAATACATATGCCACGGATTCAACTTAATTAAATTTGTTTACTAAAGTGCTATGTAACAGCAAGAAAGCCAATTGCTGGCACGTGCTGTAAAAATATATAAATACAAATAAACAGTAAAATAGAATACACTAAATACAATAAGGCCTTATCCATTTGTACCAGAAATGGGCAAGACAAATGTGGAGGGAAAGAAGTTAACTATAAATATTACATTTTCCAAGTATGGTGAAGTCTATATATATATAACATAACACTAATTAAAAAATGGAGACTGGCACAAAATGATCCACAAGCTGCCAATGGTCACTAGACCACCTGTTTTATTCATATGTGCAGAGGAGATGACCAAGTTTGTATACTATATTTTGCACTGTGTTGGTTTATTATTATTAATTACATGCTTTTGGATTACAGAAAACTAATTTAACACACACTTATATTGTGTTCTTTAGACGTAGACAACCATGCAAGGCACCTGATCAAGCTGCAGTGACTCGCCCACTGATGGCTGCTGATATTGGAACTAGCCATGCTCCAACAGATCCAGTTGAGATGCGTCGTCTCAACTTCCAAACGCCTGGCATGATCTCACATCCGCCCATTCCTATTTCTGAATTAGCTAATCATATTGAGCGACTCAAGGCAAATGACAACCTGAAATTCTCACAGGAGTATGAGGCATGTAATTCAATTCCTGCTTCTAATTACATAAGACTCTTAGTTACCCACTTTGTAGATCGATTGCAGTGTTTTTAACTCTCCTCCAGAACATTCTGAGCATCTTTATTTTACTGTAAATCTTTACACCTTCGCTTCGACATTGGGTTGTACTGTTTCTGATGTGAGTTATTACCAATGTGGAATATAATGACTTTTGATTCACACTGAGCCCCTGAACCCTGTAAGTTAGTAACAGATATTTTTTTCAGCATTTAGAAGTTTCAGATTAGAGGAGTATTTTTCAGATAATTATATGTAAATAAATGTATATGAATATATTGTCTTATTTAGAGTGAAACTGCTAGGATAACAAAGACATCCATTACAAGATGTATGAAGAAGGCGTTATTTAATAATTTTAGTTTAATAAAGATTGTACTCCTACATGAATGAAGTGCAGATTGATTATCCATTGTTTTCAGATATATGTAGTATTATTCCTGCAACATTACCATGGATAATTGAGGGTCTTCTGCATTGTAGGTCAAACCAGTGTTGGTTCAAAGTGTTAAAGGGCACTGGAGATGTTCTGCTGTAGGAAAGGCATGCAGACTTAATATGAATGAGTAAGGTTTGAGGTATTCATATGTTCTGTGTTAGGACACCATTCAGACTTGCAGGTGGTTACCAAGGTTCCTCCAAAACATTGGTAACTTAGTGTCATAAATCTGAATTCATTCAAAATTCATAGTGTTCAAGAAATGCAAGCCTTTAACATGTAATTCCTTTTGTTTGTTTTAATTCTGTCTGCAGTCGATTGAACCTGGCCAACAATTTACATGGGACCACTCCAATATGGAGGTGAACAAGCCAAAGAACCGATATGCCAATGTAATTGCTTATGATCACTCGAGAGTTATTCTACAGCCTGTGGATGGTATCCTTGGTTCCGACTACATTAATGCCAACTACTGTGATGGATACCGAAAACACAATGCCTATGTTGCTACTCAGGTGATTATTGCTTCATACAGTTGTGTTAGCCCTTAAAGACATTGATGAATTGGAGAATTTTGCCTACACTGTTATTATGTTGGACATTGTCTATTCCCATCCACTGTCTAAGAATGTAAAGATTAATGAAATCTAAAAAATTGTAACATAATTTTGTTTCTGAGGAGAATATTTGACCGTAAACAGGAAGATGTTTTGAGAGGCTGGAGAAAATTTTTTAATCAAAAGCTTCATAATTTGTAGCAGACTGAATGCAAATTATCTGAGTGGTTTCAAATATTTATTTAACAAAAACTGAGTAATGTAAAGAAATTAAAGTTACACTGTTGGATGGAAAACTTCAATGCAGTTGTGTCTGCATTAAACAAACGTCAAGACCAGTGTGGTATGCATTGTCTAAGAGATTGCATTTTGATTATATATGTGCTCCAAATTGCAGTACATTTTTCCGCTCTCGTTAACATCTCATCACATTACATGTGGTTGGGTTTCAGGGTCCTCTTCAAGATACCTTTGCTGACTTTTGGCGCATGTGCTGGGAGTTGCGCTCGGCCACAATAGTGATGATGACAAAGTTAGAGGAGAGGACACGCATCAAATGTGACCAGTATTGGCCCACAAGAGGAACTGATACATATGGTGCCATGACAGTCACAATCACTGATGTCCAGGAGCTGGCCACTTATTGCATACGCACCTTTCAGATTTACAAGGTCATCACTCTTCACTCTGTTAATCCTCTTTATCATCATCTTTTCCAGCAATAAGCATATTGACACCTGTTACAGAAATTAGAGAACAGTTCTTCCATAATTTTTGAGGTGTTCTTAAACTTATTTTTCCTTCTCATTCATAATTTAAAATCTTTTTATGAATTCTGTCATATCTTCTTTCTTTTCAGTTTCTGTTCTTTCTAGTTTCTTCTGTATTCTGTAATTTATTTAGTTATCAGTGTTAATTTAATTTGAGTAATAATTTTTACTTTTTAAAATACTAAAAAAAAGTTGATGTAGGATGTCTTATTCAGGGTATATTGTATTTGGATAAATGCAGTATTACTGTAATTTTATGTCTAAATACATCCCTAAGAGAAGCTGTCATACATAGCTTATAGGCAAACAATAGTAAAATAATCCTGTTTAGTGCTTTTAAGTTCTTGGAAGATACAAGTATCCAAATCACGTGTTGCAGGCTGGCTATTCAGAACGACGGGAGATAAAACAGTTCCAGTTTACAGCGTGGCCTGACCATGGTGTGCCTGATCACCCTGCTCCTTTCCTGCAGTTCCTACGTCGTGTTCGCAACATGAACCCTCCTGATGCAGGTCCAATGGTGGTTCATTGTAGGTCAGTCTTAACATGTTTATGATATGGGAAGGTACCATAAATACCTGCTTCTAGACCCCCTTTCCAGCTAGTCGGCATGCAGGATGCAGATTTCACACTGTGCCAGATTAATTTTATTTATCTCTTTGTAAATATCTGTATCTTATGGCTCTATAGCAACCTAACATCAACAGGCACGTGTAAACCTCTATAAGTGAAACAGGAATAAGTGAGAAGGACATTTTTAAAGTTACTTTACCTTTCTCAGTATTATGGCTAATAAGGATGGTTTTGCACTACATTCATAGAAAGTCCACTTAGGCTTTTTCCGATGTTATATGGTTCAGGTAGCTTTTGTCTTCTAATAATCAGTAACAGTTGCAAATAGAATAGCACTTCTTCTTAGTACTACAAAGAATAATCAGTTATATGACATAAAGAATTAGCCAGCAACAACCTTATGTATTAAGCAGAAATGTAATTCAACATAATAGATATTGCATACTGGGTTTCTGATATTTGGTCCTAGGAGAGAAGACGATGGGGCATGGAGAAAACTGCATAATGATGAGCTTAAAAATCTGTACTCCTCCCCCAATATTGTCAGGGTGATTAAGTCGAGAAGAATGAGATGGGCGGGGAATGTAGCGCGCATGGATGGTACAAGAGGTGTGCACTGGGTATTGGTTGGGAAGCCTGGGGGGAAGAGGCTGCTGGGGAGACCTAGACGTAGATGGAAGGATAATGTCAGGCAGGATCTATGGGAGATAGGAGTTGAAGGAGAATGGATTTTGTTGGCCCAGGACAGGGTCCGGTGGAGGGCTTTGGCTAATTCGATGATGAACCTTCGGGTTTGGTAAGCCATCTAGTTAGTTATACTGGGTTTCTTGAAAGACATCAGTTTCCATAAAATAAACTGTGTATTAGCCAAACACTTTTTCGGAGCTGTATCATAAGTGTTAGTTTCCTTTTAACCTTTATCATATGTGAATGGATTTAAACCCATACTATGAGGCTGCTGGCCAGGGTTTAACAGTGTAGCAGTATGATACTGCCACACATGGCCAACTGGACCAAAATGGATGCCACAACACACAGCCAACAAAAGCTGATGCTAATAATGAGTATATTCATCTTTAGTATATAAGTGCTTTATTATTGCAGTATGTAATGGTTAAAGAATTGTTTAACGTCATAATTTTAAATGTACACCGACATAACAGATTGCAAATATATTAGACATTTTGGCTGTTAGAAAATTTGTGTTGTTGTTATTGCATGTGAGAAATGTACAGCTTGTAAATCATGCAGTACCACTGAAACATATGCCTAGAAATATAAATATAGTTGTGTTGATGGTTTAATATTTAGCATTTTTACATATTTCTAGGAACACAATTGAATACTCCAATATAAGTTGGTTACTTAGATAGGTGGTTTATTTTTTAAGATAGATAGATGGGTGGGTAAATGGATGGATGGATAGGTTGGTGGGTAGACAGATGGGGGAACAGACAAAGTTATAGAGATGGATGGCCCAATAGACAGACAGACAGAATAGATAGATGGTTGCATCAGGATGACATCACCTTAATTTGTAGACAGTTGTAGTTGTTATTTTTCCTTCTAGTTACCTGGGATTGGCACCTCTGTTTTGGATAAGTCCACATCATAGACATCCTGTCCAACTTATATTTATTTCAGAAGAGTGGTAACACTGACTTATTATTTTTACAGTGCTGGTGTTGGACGGACAGGTTGTTTTATTGTTATTGACTCGATGCTGGAGAGAATGCGTCATGAGAAAATGATTGACATCTATGGTCACGTGACTTGCCTCAGAGCACAACGTAACTACATGGTTCAGGTCAGATTTTGTTGCCAATAGTCTGTTAAGTACGTTGTCTTAATAATTTAATTGAAGAAAGAAATTACAATTTTCCTTTGTGTCATATCTCTTTTCAGTGATCAAAGATCCTCTGCCATATCATGACACTAGGTTTGTCAGAAATTTGTTCCATCTCAAGAACTGATACAAAATATCAATTTTTCATCATAAATTTAAGATGGAAATAGTGGTAGGACAGTGCACAAGAATGTTGCAGATTTTACATATGACTATGTGAAAATTTATTTTAGTACAGCTACATAGAGATAAGCCAGTTCAAACTTCTTTCATTTGCCGACTATTTATTTATCAGTTGATTTCTGTAATATGATTCTTGAACACAGGAATAGCTTTTTCTTTACCCATATGTTTACAGTTCAGTTGAATTGTTGTCTTACAAACTAACATTAAATTTTATTGTGGACAGACGGAGGACCAATACATATTCATCCATGATGCACTGCTCGAAGCTGTGATTTGTGGTAACACTGAAGTGGCTGCCCGGAATTTACACACTCATATTCAGAAATTGATGCTGCCTGAAACTGGGGAAAACATCACAGGAATGGAGCTTGAATTCAAGGTCAGCATTACTTTCAAAATGTTCTCATTGTGTTAATTTATGCTAATAATCACCTGCGCCCACCAATATTTCCGCTAGTGTCTCGAAACTTTAAATCTAGCATATGTAATGCTACTGTTGCAGCCTGTGTTCACTGTGTTCATCATGAAACTGACAGTAGTAGTAGTATTGCCAATGTGGACTTCAAAAATCTTCACTAAAAAAAATCTGTCCGCAATATTGACATATGATCTAAGGACAAATGGTATCTCTTGTAGCATGCTCATGGATTAATTAAATGGATCTGAAGAGTGTAACGAACATCGTTTCTTTATGTTACAGAAACTATCAAATATCAAGGCTGACTCCACACGGTTTATCAGTGCAAACTTGCCCTGCAACAAGCATAAGAATCGATTGGTGCACATCTTGCCATTTGAATCAACACGGGTGTGTTTGACACCTGTACGTGCCATAGAGGGCTCTGATTATATAAATGCCAGTTTTATTGATGGTTATCGGTACCGAACAGCCTACATTGCGACGCAAGGCCCACTTCTTGATACAACTGAGGACTTTTGGAGGATGCTCTGGGAACACAATTCAACTATTGTTGTTATGCTTACAAAACTCAAAGAAATGGGAAGGGTGAGTATTATTTATACATTCTGTAACCCAGGAGATAATTATTTGGATGTTCTTTACATTCTGTTGTAAGAGAACAACACCTTATGTGCCTGTTTTGCCTTTCTGTCACATCTGTCTGTGAATTACTGTGTACTGTAAATTATTATTCTATTTTAATAAATATGTTTGCATTGTCTGAAAATGCATCATTTTTACAAATTAATTAATGTGAATACATGAAAAGAGTAATGATATCAAATGGAAGGTTGCTTTTATTTTTGATTGTTGCTGTTGTATACATTTAGTGCAGTGGTTCTCACCTGCTGTGCCATGAACTTTTTCCAAATGTGCTGTGAGGCTTTGAATAGAAACCTTTACAAAATTAAATATGCACACTAAAAATTCAAATAACTGTTAATATAACATTATTAACCTTAATGGGGTCCGCAGTGGCCGTGCAGTCTGAGGCGTGGGCCTTGTGCTGCTTGGTCGCTGGGACCGTGGGTTTGAATCCCACTCAAACCATGGATGTTTGTCTGCGTCTTTCTGTATGTGCTGTCCTGTGTACAGGTAGAGGCCTTGCGATGGGCCGATCCCTCGTCTAAGGAGTCCTACCGAATGTCTATAGATCAAGCCAATGAAAAGTTGGGACCCGCAGTGCTCAGGCACTTGAAGAA